TTGGGGCTTTCACTCCTTGCCATTTGCAGTTGGCCACTGAAAGAATGGACTCGCCGAAAAGGGATTGGTTTCTTCCAGCTTTATTATTATTACTGCTCTTATTATCGCTATCATTGTCATTATTATTATTGTTATTATTATTAGTATTGCTGCTATTATTACTATTATCATTACTATTATTATTGTTATCATTATTACTACTTTTATTATCGCCATTATTATTACCATTATTATTGTTACTGTTATTATTACTATTGTTATTATTATCATTATTATTAATTTTATTGTTACTACTACTATTATCACTTATTATCGTTCTGATATACCAGAACAGCAGTAAAAAGTATTTATTCGCATTATCATTGAATTATATTGCTTTCGAATGCCTTGAACGTTATAAAACACGTTAAAATGAAATGAATGGCATGTATTGTTCACCGCGCCATATTCACTATCACACCTCTTCCATGTGTGTTTTCTCTTCAGATAATGTACGAGAGAAACAGTTGAAAAGGAAAAGAAAAGCAGCGAACGATGATTTTTTTGATAATGCAACGAGTAGCAGTGTGCTAAACGCTGAACCGTCGCTTACTTTTGAGCAGATGAGCCTTTCAAGGCCTCTTTTGAAGGTAATTTGCATAAAAATTAGTAAATTTATGACAGACAGCTACTTGTTCACGGCATGCTTCTCCAGCTGCTCCAATTGACAACTTTTCCAGTGCTACGTAGCGTGGTGGACAGTCTGTTGACGATCGTGATTTTCGTTTCGTATCTGAAAAGGATTATTAGCTTTGCAGCAGTTTTTTTCAGCAAAATAGCCGCCTTGCAAAGCTGTCAGAACTCCTTCTCGCCACTGATTCAACTGGCAGCTTCCAGGAATCCTTCTCCTTATATTCTTTTACGATCTTTTTGCAGATCTTCAAAGCGAGACTTGTATATGACTTAATGGACCGAAACATTTAAAAATATATTCCCATAATCTCCTTTCCCCTTCTTACTTCGCTTTTCCATCGTTTTCTTCTCTTCTTCATCTTTTCTACTTCATCATTTTCTCTTTATCCTTTAATAGAAGGTTATAATTAAATACAGATTGGAATGTTTATGGGTCATTTTTTGGTAATTTAGGCAGTAACAGCGTGTGGTTTCAATGAACCAACACGAATACAAAGTGCTTGCATTCCCGTGGCACTTGCTGGGCGTGATATTTGTGCATGCGCTGCTACGGGTACAGGTAAAACTGCTGCATTT